TTGATTAGTAGAGAGAGAGAGAGGGGGGGAGAGTGAAAGAGAGAGTATGCAAGAGAGAGAGAGTGACAAAGGGAAAAGAGCAAAGAGAGTGAGAAAGAGAGCCCATGCCATTTTAAAATTTGTTTGGGACGAAAAAATGTAATAAAATGTGGTTCAATGGGTTTAGGGGGTTAGTAGAAAGACTTTTGGAAAAGTTGATGCCGCTAGATGCATTTCAAATTTGTAGATCTATGGGGAAATCGTACATCAAATTAGGGTGTATACAGATATTATCCCTTATAAAATTTTACAGAATGTGCTCCCAACCTAGGGAGCATCCAGCATGTGCCAATCTGTCACTCCCTCTCTCGGCCCTGCTCCCTCTTCAAACAACCATGGCATAAATCAAGATAGTAAACATACTTAGGAAGTATAAATAACAAGAATTCAGGTATTTATAATAAACACTCAGGAAACAAATGAACTCTAATTTCTAACAGGTCACTCCATTGTTCTAAGAGAATAGAAATTATCATACGATAATGAAACTATTAATTACCAAATTCAGCTGATGTCAGCATAAACAACATGAAGAATATTTCTTTTTGTTAGCTGAAAACACAGCAAACATTAAGATTAACAATTTAGTAGATCGCATTATGAATAACAAAACATTTTAGAGATCAAAATATACATGGAGAAAACAAATAAAAAGAAGTTATGATTAATACAAGAGTACAAAAGCAGCCCCTAGCAGCCATGCAATATTTACGTTCACATTAGTATGTACCATAAAATCAGACAATTATCAGGAGGATAAATCGAATCCATAAACTTCTTACTAGATAATTCATGGCAGCATGTGCACTTAAGAGATAATATTCATAACAAATGTAAAATCAAACAAAGGAAAGGCAGAGATATAATCCAACGGCCTAAGGGAAAACCATCAATGTGTTGAGTCAACAACCATCTATTGAAATGATTGATAGTGATAGAGGAGATCTACCAGACATGAACCCAATGGTGGGTCCTGAGCTCTCATGATCACCATCCATCACAGTGGATTGCAACGACACTAGGGACAATGGTTTTTCCATAGTCCTTGGAATATATTAAGATTAAAGAAGATATAGTGTTCATCAGGGGGGCAAAATTAAGTAAATGAAATAATTCATTTGAAACTAGAAATGAAGAAAAAGGTTGCTGACTTCCCAAAACAGACCTGACATCTTGATGCCACCACATCTTTAATTTGTTGATACATGAAATCAAGTAGCACGTCTCTTCTAGTCCAATATTCAGCCTGGAGACCTTTATATTCTTCTTCTCTTTCAATCTTTGCAGCTATGGAAACAGCATACGCCTCTAATAAACAATCAGCTAGCTCTTCTAGGTGAGAAAATAGCTCTGATTTCATAGAAGAATCTAATCCCTCTGCTTCCTTTAGAAGCTGAAGAATTAGGGAAGCTAAGCTCCAGAGCCCAGATCTCACAAGACCTTGACAGTACCAAGGAGTTATTCCTTCAGAAGATGGGTACCACGATTGTTGTGCATTCTTGTAAGTTATGGCAGCTCGAATTATAGCTGCGCATGCATTTGCAATTTCACATGTCCTATGAATCTGTGTCACGATGGACTTACCTCCCACAATATATGGGAGGTGCTGAGATATACAAGAAAAGAATTCCTCAAGATCAGAAACTCTACTGTAAAATACTTCAGCATTTTCTCGATCCATCAGCAGCACATTATTCCTTCGAGCTTTCTCACCGACTAACTGGATCAGCTCCCATAGAGAACCACTGATTTCACTAGAGGAACTATTATTAAGGGAATCACCTTCGCTTGACTTACTCTGGCTAACTGCACTTTGCAATTCCCTCAGTTGGATCAAGGCAGCAAGTTTTTCACCATGCTCCATTATAGCATGCAAAGATCCTCCTGCAAGAGTGAGCAGTCGTGCTTAATCCCAGTATGAAAGCTTCTGAAAAGCTAAGGAAGCCGCAAACTATACTGCAGAAACAGAATTTGTCATTTAATCTTTGGGAACGACATTATGTTTTAATGGAAATGGATATCCACACTCCATTAGAGTCATGACTGAGATGAAAGAAAGGATGGCTATGAAGATAAAGTGGAACCCACATTGGGATCATATCCAGTTCTTGTAGATCCCACTATCTCTCCGTCATCATCCATCATTCCATTGGATGGTGGTAACTCCAATGGCTTACATCCTATATATTTCATTGGATTATAGTGTACATCCCTTATTCTTTATAGTTAATCATGGTCTTGTAATGTGACCGTGAGAAATATGGTGGTTAGCATTTCCATTTACATAAAAGCCAGAATATGAGGAGCACCTTCCTTTCACATGCCGCTAAACATAGAAGCATTGATGCCAAATCCTCCAGTGATTACCAAGACCTACTCTTAAGATGCCTTTTAACAAAGCAAGTAGAAAAATGAAACATTAGAGATGTGTTGTCAACTAAAAGATGGGCAATCAAATACATACTTTGCCTGAAAGAAAGCCCTTCATGGCACTTGGTCAGAGCTAGAAAATGAAGGAATCGCTGATGCCTTTGTTGTTTCTCCAATAGTTGGGATGAGACAACCGCCATGGCTACAATCTCCGCCCCTCTGGTGGTTGTCCAATGCTTTGCGAGTGCATCAACAATGGACTTGCTAGCACGAGCAAAAATATTCTTCTCACCATCCTTATCAAATGCCCCAGAAACTTTTAGTTTTTCAAGAACCCCATCAACTTGACCTGAATAAAGGAAAGCATGGAAGAGGCGCCCAACTAAAGCTTCAGCTTCCTCATCTTGAGCATTCCTCTGAGAGATACTAATTGATACTGGCCTCTGTCTATCACCTGCATCCCAAGCCTCAGAGCTAACTCTTCTTGGTGCAATATTGCCCCCAAATGCCATGCTCCTTTTCTCTTCTTCTGAAGATCCTTCATTTGAGCTCCCTTTACGAGATAAACTACGTTCCGGTGGCTCAACCCCACCAAGTAAAACTGCCTTTTCAGGTATAGCCCATACTCCAGCTTTCTCAGTAAGCACAACCCAAGCACCTTCTTCTCCATCATCCATAGCAGGAAGAACTGAAGCATCAATAACTTTTCCTGCATCCCAAGGAAGATCAAATTGATAGAGTCGTGTAGCTCCTCTCCAGTATTGGGCAACAGTTGCAATTCCATCACCAGATAATACCATTGTTGATCCTGAAGGTCTGCCCCCTATACGAAGCCTCATAGAGAACAAGAAGTCCTCCTCCTCCACTCTTGCTTTAGGAAGTATCACTTGAATAGGAGCTTTTTTCTCCAAAACCCTTACGTTGCTTGACCCACCATGTTCTTTTGATATATTTTCACTAGATTTATACTGCATAGTCAGAAGCGAATACTGTGTATAGCTTGAACTGCTTACCCTATCCTTACAAAATGTTGCAACCAGAACAGTGAGCTCTTTTCCATTATCACTCACCTGAAGGTCTAAAAGCCACACATGTTTTTGACCTGCCAAATCTTTCTTTATACCCAAATCATTATCACTTCCAACAATTTCATGAGACCACCATTTCAAAACCTTCCTCTCAGGCCCAAGATCAACACTCCAGCACTGTATCTCATGATCAGTTAGTAGGAAAAATTGCCTGTTGGATTCATCTCCAGAAACAACCTGATGGCGCCAAGTGAGCGATCTTGAATATCTTTTATTCATCACTGGAGCACCACAATCACTTTCTCGTGAAAATGGAGCACCAAATACCTGAACAACTTTTTCTCGAGAAATTCCGGAAGGGGAGCATCTGAAACACCATAGTTCCCCATTGGATTGACAAAGAAGAGCAATACACTCATTACAAGTAGAACCAGGAACTGGTGAAACAATCAAGGAGTTAACTGGACTTGGGTCTTTTGAACCACTAGTTCCAATCCATCGTTGATTTGGGCGTCGACTTGGATTGACTTTTCCTTCACGAGATGGAGTCATTTCTTCAGATTCATCATGAGAAGGAAACCAAGAAACTGAAGACCTTCCATTTTCAGAGTATATGTTAGGCCAATATAATAATGCTCGAGTTTTTTGATTGCAGATGATAATCCCAATAGAACTGCACTCTCTAGCCAACTTCTCAGAGCTTTTACTCGTCCTGTCCCATTCAATAGCACATAGAATCCAACCATCTCCAGGCCTGGAATTGGCGCCATGGTCTTCATCAACATAAACAAAAGAAGGCAATTCAAGCGCAACACATCTTTGTGAAGCAACCCCAGATACGTGACTCCATATAAAGAGCTGATTTCCACATAAAATCCATGATAAACAAGTTCCCTTATCCATACCACCTGATATGCCTGACTCATCCAAAAAATAGAACCCATCTTATAATCATATAAAATGAAGTAATATGCTAAGGAATTTGAAAGTCTAAATCAAGCCAACTTATGGGTTTAAGAGTTTTTAGTTAAAAATGGAAATAAATATGAAACACAAGTCGTTATGCACTTGAATGGTTCAAAAATGATTATGCAGTGTCCCAAGTACCATGTTAAAACAAAAAAGTAATAAGGAATTTAAGACTAGTTGGATTAATAGCATATAAAACTGTGCCTGGAGGTCCCTTCTGGTGCAAATTAGCTTGAGCATTGCGAACTAATTGTGGAAATTCTCCAATATATACAGGCTGGATTTGATCCAAATTCGCTCCCTTCTCTGATTTGCTATCAAGAGGCAGCCTATTGTAAGAACCAAAAGGAAACACTTCGTGAGTACTATTACGAATGTAATGGAGCCCATTCAAGAGAGACACTCAACAAATGAGAGATAACGAAAAAGTAAACTGAGTATTTGGATATCGAATAAATTGCAATCACAACTTCTACACCAAAAATGGATTTTGAAACTGAATAAGGAAACCACGAGAATTTTCCACAACTCATCAATCGCCCAATGCTCATATAGATTTGAATCAATTTGACTCTTTACAAAGATGAGCAAACTTGGTAGTAGAAAGTTCAGAAAACAAAATCAAATGAACCCAAAAGTTTAAATTTTTCAAAATCCCCTGAAAAGTCTGCAACCTATATGTCAGAGCATCCAAAATTTCAATCAATCCATTAAATCAAATTGCATGGCTAAGAGAATCCAACCTGGCTAGAACAGAGAGGCGAGGAGACCTAGGCAAAGGCGTGCGAGAACCAGAAGCTCCTCCATGACCAGAGCTTCGCTGGTTCTGCAAACCCAAGTTGGGCTTCTTGCTAGCAGGCGAAAACATGGATTTGCCCTAGAAAAAGAGCTGTAGTTCCACTGGATTGAGAACGAAAGCGAGAAGGCAGCTCATAACAAGGTGAACCCAGAAAACTTTAGGGTTTTCCCCAAAAAGGAGAGCAAGTAAAATCTTCGTATCAGGGCTTCAGGGTTGGAAAAGTGATGCTGGTTCAGTGCGCAAAATCGAGTACTAGGTTTTTAGGAGGGAATTTTGAAAAGGCCTTCTGCAAGTAGAGTAGGGCTTTTTTTTATTTTTTTATTTCTTTTATTTTTCCCTTTTATTGTTTTTGTGTTTTGAAAAATGATTCGACAGGATACACCCTTATCAAAAGTAAAGCCTCATCATGTAACTCATCAAAAATTACAATTTAAGTATCGGAAAACTTTTATATCAATCATCTTCGCTTGAGTGTTATGATTGTAAAAAAATTTAAAATTTTAAAAATAATAAATATTTTTACAAATTATTTAGACCGTACATTTTGCCTTAAGAGACAAGATATGTACCATTTTTTTAGTTTCAAATTTTATTATCGACATTAAAAACTTATTTTAGAGTTGTTATAGAGATTTTCGGTTGTTCAAAGTAATTTCCATTATTATATTTGAGATGATGTTTTATTTTGTTTTTGATAAAGTTTAAGTTTTATAGAAACTTCATCTTTCGATTTTCAACTTGTTTTTTTTTTTCTTTTTCTTTTTCTTTTTTGGTTTTTTTAGGCCACTTACTTTTCGAATAATCCACCTAATCCTATGGGCGGATTAATGTTTTTACTTCTATTTTCACCCATGATTGGGATATTTTTAGTGGTCGCAATCCCGTCAAGGCAAGTCAACCCATATCGGGTCCGGGTCCAATTTCATATGTTGGACTTGGTGGGTCGGATTTAAGTCTAAAGGTCTTGAACCTGACTTCAGTCGGTTCTTGGTTTGGGTCTGACTTGGACCCCATCAAGTCTAGGTTGGGTTCAGCCCCCATGATCCGATTTAAAATGTATAAAAAAAATAAAATATATATGCAGTGTATAAAATAATCTTTTTTTAAAATTTTTGGACCTAAGTCTAGATTCAAATGACTTGTGCCCAACCTGGTTCGAGTTAGGTTGAGTCCAGGTCTAACCTAGTCATTAAGTAACCACGTCGATCTGAGTTGGTTCCTCCAACTTAGACAAAAGTTATATAAAAGAGGGAAATTAAAGTAAATATATTTTGTTAAGGATATTTGTAAGTGGAAAAATGTTGAAAGTGCCCCCTGACTCAAAAACGTCCATCTTTGGATGGACGTTGTGTAAAGTGTAGCGTCTGTAACCAACATACGAACGGCGCACAAAAAATACCAAAAAAATATAGTTTAAATTTTAAAAGTTTATTTTTCTCTCATGATCGCCTTGGCCTAGATGTTGAATATATATAAAAAAAAAATTTGATAAAAAATTAATCTTTAAAATGGATTTTAGATCGGGGCTGCATTTGTGCTAATGAGCCGGCCCAACTCATAGAAACCCCATCCCTTAAAAATAGGGTGCGGTTTGTATTGAGCCTAGGCTCTAAACAATCAAATTGGAACCTATCTTCAAAATAAACTTTTCCCTTAAAAATATCCCCAAGATTATCTATTTTACTTGGATGTCATTTCTTTTCTTCTTTTTTTTTCTTTCTTTTTTATCCAAAAAGGGTCATCACTTAATATGACGGTAAAAGGCTCGGGTAGTCACAGCAAGAGCACTGATTCACGTCCTGAGAGCAGCCACTTTGTGTATAAAAAACCAAAAATTAGGACTGTTTTTAGCTCACCCCTCCCGGGACCCAGCGTAGACGGGACTAGCACAAGGTTACAACCCTTTTTTGTTTTTATCCAAAATGCACCTTTTTTTGTTTTTATCCAAAATGCTCCTTAGAGTGAGATACTATGGTTTTGTTTTTATCCAAAATGCTCCTTAGTGTGAGATATTATGGTATAAAAACAAGTTAGCAATTTTCTAAGGGGGTACCATAGTAGAAGAACAAGTTGCAATTTTTTTTAACACTGTAACACAAAGTCATACCAATAGGGTATTGCAAATTCACTATTAATATTAGGAGAAACAACTAGTAGACATTTCAATAATGTGTTAAATGCAGTAATATGCTTAGAAATGGAGTATATGTTACCTCCGGGTGCGCCACTCGTCCTTCTATCTCAAGAGACACCAAATTTCCTAATTATTTTAACGTACCAAAATTGTCAACAAACTTCATGCTACAATGTATTTTTACCTCATCTAATATGCCTTTGCATAACATTAATAAGATTATGTTAGAGCGCTTAATGGACACAAGTCTAGCTTATGTTAAATCACAATATTATCTTTCGATTATGCAGAAGTAAGGCTTAGATATCCCATAATATACTAGATGTCGTTTCATTTGACAGACTTTTCAATATGTGCTTGCTGGATGGGATGGATCTGCTTCGGACTCTTAGAGTTTTATACTCTGCACTAGAGAGGTATATTAATCCATTAAGAGTACCTCCAGGTAATATTCGATACGATTTAATGTGTAGTAACATTATGAAATTTATTACAATGTACTCATTAACGTAACTCTCATATTTGTTTTATATAAATTCTACCCTGTAGATGCAGGCTACCCTAATATGCGGGGCTTCATGACCGTACCGCACAACTCGTTACCATCTTTAGGACTATCGAGGTGGTATTAATATGAGGACAAGGGATAAACTATTTAATTATCGACACTGAGCACACATTTGGTCTATAGAAGACACTCTTCGCAATCTTACATAAGCAATTTCACTATCCCTTTCAAACTCAAGTCAGTATCGTCATTGCAACATGTATATTGGCAGAATATTACATGACTATATCAGACTGACAAGAGCTATTATCACCATTGAGGAGTCAAGGTTTGAAAACGTGGCATTAGAACATGATCAAATGGTGCAAGAGACCATAACTTAACATCAGAGTGGGTATGACATTGCTACATAGTACACGATGAAATTACTAATAGAATGTGGGAACGATATCGAGATTGGGTTTATGATAGAGTCGTTGTGATGATATTACATACTTCTTTTTTTTTTTTGTGCTTAGTACCTCTGTTATGCATTTCGATATTGGATATGGACATCATGCATTAAAGATGTATTATGCATTGGAACAAAAGAACTATTGATCAATTTGGTATTACAAATATTTGTTCATTAATCTTACAAGATAGAGAGATTAAACAAAAAATAAAAATACACAGATTAACCAAGGCTTGATGCTTGTATAATTTAATAAAGTGAACCAAACTTATTATCTAAACCATCCTTTTTTTTTAAAACATAATATAGACTGAGTGCTTAAAAAAAGTTACCTTAATGGAATAAACATCGATATCAAATCAACTATATTGCCTTTGAACAGTAAAAAATAGGTATTAATCCAAATTTTGGAAGGTAGTTTACCAAACATACGAAACTGGGTACACAAACATGGAAAAAAACAGAACCGAAAACTCCTGCACATAGAATTGTTTTACATATGCAAACTGATACGTATGAACCTATCGAGCCCCAAGTGCCAAACTTTATTACGAACCATTGCATTCCCGTAACCGTTGAACTGAGTTTTGAACTTGTTATTTAGTACTTGAGAGTGCCAAAAGTGGCACTGTTGAAATTATGCCATGTTAAAATTATATCCGGTACTCAACAAGTACCTAACTTTGTTTTCTAACATGCTCAAAAGTCAAAATAAAGTTTAGTATTTAGAGTTCCGAACATTACTTCAAAATACTTGAAAATAAAATTTGACACTTATGAGTGCTGAAGCAAAAGCATTTTTGCAAAAAAACTAAAAAAAAAAGTGGGAGAAGAAAAAAAGTGACATCTCCATAAAATTTTTTGGAGAACATCCTTTAAAAAGAACGGATACGGGTGTTAATTTCCAAAGGAATAGATAACAGAAAAAAAGCAGAAAAATAAAGAAAAGATTAATAGAAAATCAAAATCAAAATAAAAAGATTAAATAAAAAAAAAATTAAGGAAAAAGTGATAAATAAATAAATAAATAATGGCATCAAAAAAGACAAAAACAAAAATCAATCTTAAAGATTATTTTGATTATAAAAGACCTGTTAGATCTCTTGTAAATCACAGCGATAGAAACATCTTGAGACAAATTTCAACAAATTTGGTGAAATAACGAGAGAAACCAAAGATGCTCAATTTCGGGTTCAAAGAACTCCCTAAATTTGAACTCCTGATTTTTTTTTTTCTTTTTTGTTTTTTAATCCAACACGTACTTTTTGAAATAGATTTTAAATCATTTCATTGAAATCGAGAGTGGTAGATTTGGTTATTATGCTCCAGCAATAAAGATATTGTCAATAAAATATCACCCAAAATGAAAATCAAACAAAAAGCCTACTCATGAATCTCAAATGGGGCTAAATGAGATTGATTATTGTTAAATTCCATCTGCATAGGAATTAAACATCGGAGGATCAATTATTCATCGAAGAAATAATAAAAAGGCTTTACAGCCCATTCTCTAAATCTTTCAATTGAAAAAATGGATTACCAAGCCAACTCACCTGAGTCCCGAGTCCGGGAGAGAATAGGCCCAGTAACCCTCTAGGCCAAGTTGGCTCACTGACTTTTAAAACATTGCATCGAACAATATACAAAGATAAAATCGTGTATCACATAATCAACAAAATAAGAACCATCCCAGTAAACGAACCATTGAAAGGCCTCAAATTACATTATATGACATACGACACTTACAAATCTTCTCCATACTCACGTAGAAGTCTCTAAGAACCAGTATACCCAAAGAAAAAGGAGATATAAGCATCAAAACCTGCTATAACTAACCCAACCGCTTCCCTGAGAAAGGCACATTCGCATATTCACTTGACTTACAAAGATTCGAGAGGATCATATGAAAGCCCAACAAAATCAATGTCTCCCTAAAAACCATTTTGAAAGTATAAAGAAAAACAAAAAAAGAAAAGAAAAACAAGATGTATTGCCACAAGATTGGAAAAGTACATACAAATGGTAAGCCACCTTCCTAGGGCTCCAATTTCAAAGAGACAACTCGAGATTGGCGGTTATGCTTTGCAACCCTCACAAAGACGACAGAGAGGCAAGAGGGGGCCCACCATGGCCTACGCACTTCCTGCTCGCCTTTCAGGCACGCCACTGTGGGTTTGGAGAGTGGGTTAGGGAATTTATAACAATCAATAGCAATAACATATGGACAGTAAAAACATGGGGGCAAATAGTGATCACCACTTCTATGAATAATTTTATTCCATTTTTTGAGTAAGGGATTTGCCAGCATACTCTTACAATAATTTTAATGGCTTCCAATACCATTGGATCTGAGATACATATCCATCATGGCAAATCCATTATGGTTAGGGCCTGTTTTCATCATTTGCTAGCGAGAATCTCGAAAATTCCATCAAAAGCATTTATTGGGAACTTTGTTCAGCCATTCAATATATCTTTAAGCAATAGCTACTCATGTCCTCTGCTGCCAATCACTTTTATTTTGGGCTACTTTTTGTGGTTTGTTTGAGGCTTTGGTAAATGCAAAAAAATTCAATTGAAAGCATAAGCATTTGGTCGGGCTAACACAATACTTGGACTGAAATTAGGTGTAATAAGCATTAGACGCATGCTAGAGCATGGGGTAGTGATCATCCAAAAGACTTGAACAAAATTCATTATATGGGAAAGATGTTAGCTCTTATCACCGGATGACTATATATGTTACCAAATCCCTTCCACGTAATAACAAAAACTAGTATAGCCAATGTTAGAGGGTGAAAGAAAAGTACCTTTTATGCGCCTTAGCTCCTTGCATAGCGTTATGAAGTCTCCCCATTTCATGTGACATCGCCTTATAAACCGTAGAATTTGTTCAGTGGTGAAGGTGGAAAGGCTGTCAAGGTACTCCCCATTGATCCCATTCTCCTTGAAATTCTGCCGGTAGCTACCAAGATTAATCTCGTCCAGCCACAACCCAACGTCCTAATTAAGAATATGCAGGTCTGAGATTAGACATATATCCAATTGGTAATATTTTCTAAACATGATTAATAAAATGGTAATATTTCTTAACTACAATTCCTCAAACAAAGAAACTGATAAGATCTGATAAAGCTATTTGTCAATTAAAAAAAAGAAATGAGATTTCTTTTCATGTTCAAAAAGAAAATATGATTTTCAACTTGTATATATCAGCCAGCTATGTATAAAACCTTTTGGCGCAAGCCTCTCTACAATTCCCTTTCAAGATTAAAGGCCCGCTCCATATTACTACTACAGATGACTCTCCCTCCCTATCTTTACATCTCTCCAAGCGTAAAATGCGATGCTTAACATACGAAGTCCACATGCACCTCCCCTCTTTCCATAATAAATCACGAAAGTCTTAGTTATTCTAAATAGGGTAGGTTATCTTGAGTTAAGACATTATTAAAAAGATATGCAACTCTAAATGCTCAAGGAATAATTTTTGTATTTTTTTTATTGCGCTCAACACACTAGAAAGTTATAATCCTTTAAATCATAAGGTTTTACACATTCGATCTTTGCAATCTATTGATTATAACCCATAAGTAACCAAAACAGTCAACCTGTTGTTACTCCTAACGTAATGAATAATATCCACTGACATTTTAAATAGCTACATGTACATACATGGATATTCTGAGCCTCCAATAAGAAGGCAGTGTTTACAGGCTAACATTGATGGATGCTATCGTTTGACAACTCACAACATGGGCCTAACAGATCATTCCTTATTATGTGTAAATGTGCATGTGCATATGTACTGTGTGGGAGAGCATGCTCCCTCATGTGCATATGCACATGTGCACTTGTCTGAGAAATGTCATTATAAAAGTTAGTTGGCTATGATCTACAAATCCTGGTTTACATGTTTCATTACTAACATCAATAACTCATACTCCCAATGAATGTCAAGTTGTTAGTCATATTTTCCAATATCTTTCCTCTTCACAATTTTTTAGTCCACTTTTTTTCTGACTGAGATTCCTTGCTCTTTGCATTTCATCTCATTCCTTGAATTTTACCCCGTTAATTTATTTTCATATGGCAGTAATGATTGACAGTTTGGCACTTAACAGTAATAGAGAATCAACCTCAACAAACAGAAGTCTCACGACTCTGATCCTACAAACTTGGCGCTCCTAGGGTTGACAAAAGCCAGTCCACACTTTAAAGAGGTAGAGCTTAATAGCATAACATAAAGCGAAATCATCATCATCGTCAGAGGCTTTTCCCAATTAATTGAGGTCGACTACATGAATCCCGGTCTGTCATTATGCTCCATTTAGGGCCATACCCTCAGTGAGGCCATAAGTCCCCATGTCTTGTCTCACTACTTCAAACCATATCCTCTTGGGCTTACCCCTTATCCTTTTTGAGCCTTCCACTTGAGCTAACCCACACCTCCTAACAGGTGTTGTACTAGGCTTGCATAGCACATGGCCAATCCAACTAAGTCTATTTTCTCTCATCTTATTGCCTATTGGTGTCACACCTAAATTCTCCTGAATGTATTTATTCTGAATTCTATCCCTTCTTGTCTCGCTACTCATCCATCTCAACATCCTCATGTCAGCTACACTCATTCTATGGGTATGTTGTTTCGTGACTTCCCAACATTACGCCGCATAAAGCAAAGCTGGCCTCATACCTATCCTATAGAACTTGCTCTTCAGTTTTATTGGTATATGACGATCATATAAAATTTCAATTGCACATCTCCACTTCTCGCACCCAGCTCTAATTCTATGTGCAACATCTTCTTCAATCTCTCCATTTTCTTGGATTATCAACCCAAGATATCGAAAGTGCGCTTTTTTTGGTGTTTCTTGCCCGTCAATCTTAACTACTTCCTTGTATCTATTCCTATTTTCTACTAAACTTTCATTCTATATACTTTTTCTTAATCTGGCTAATTTTAAAACATTTACATTCTAGAGCATCCTTCCAAATTCGTAATTTTGTGTTGACGCCATTTCGAATCTCATTGATCAAAACTGTCATCCGCGAAGAACATGCACTATGGTACCTCATCTTGTAGGTGCCTAGTCAAGTCATCCTTAACTAAGACAAAAAGGTATGATCAATGCTGACCCCTTATGTAGACCTATTGTCACTGAAAACTCACTCGTCTCTCTACTAGTTGTCCGTACACTAGTTAGCACTCCTTTGTACATATCTCTCACGAAGTCAATGTATTGTCCTAGAAACTCCTTTCTTTTCCAACACCCACCAAATCAAATCTCAAGGTACTCTATCATAAGCTTTCTCTAGATCAATAAAGACCATGTCGAGGTCTTTTCCCTTCACCTTAAACTTCTCAACTAATTGCCTAAGTAGGAAAATAGCCTAAGTTGTTGACCTCCCTATGATAAAACCGAATTGATTTTCTAAGACACTTGCTTCATGCCTTAGTCGTTGCTCAATCACTCTCTCCCACATATTCATAGTGTGGCTTATAAATTTTATCCCTCGATAGTTCGCAAGATTCTCTATGTCTCGCTTGTTCTTATAAATAGGTACCACAGTACTTTTCCTCCATCATCAGGAAATTTCTTCATTCCTCAACACCTTGTCGAACAGTTTGGTCAACCAGTCATTGCCAATCTCCCCCATGCACTTCTAAACCTCTATCGAAGTATCATCTGGTCTTAAAGCCTTCCCAATCTTCATCTTCTTCAAAGCTTTTTTCACTCCTAATATCATAATCCTACAAATGTATCTATGACCTCTACCCTCATTTATGCCAACAATTCCTTCTACCGCTACATTCCCATTTTGTAATTGTAAAAATTTGTGACATTTTATCAATAAAAAATTAACTGAGAAATCGCAATGGAACAACATTTAATATGCTGCTGAGTTGATACGGCTAGGTAAACCAGCAAGCCTTGGAGAGTGTCACATCATGCATTCTTAAATTTTAAAGAGAGTAAGAGACTTGGTCAAATTGACTCAATAAGACTCAGCTGGGGGCACGGGATTATCACCAAGCTAGGTCAGAGTCTAGATGTATAGCTAAGAAGAAAAATGCTGAACTTGGAAAACAGAGGTAACATATCACTGATCCTAACTACTTTCTAGATAGATTGATATCTATAGCAGACATCAAATCATGCAGCCTTTTCCAAGGACCTTGTAAGTCCTAAGTGTCATATCTGTGAATACCCCATAAATACATTATGGGAAACTTGCCTTACATGACAAAGACTGGAAAAGAACTTGGACTAGATTGAGAAATTGGACCAAATAATGGAGAAAGACATGCATAAGAGAAAATGAACCACTTTTATATTATAGTCCACAATAGTGATACATGGAGTGAGTATGATAATGGAAAACTTGATACCGTAACTTAAAATTTGGTTATGGAACAAATGCTCCATATAGGTGTATTAAAACTTGGACAGCTGGGTCAAACTGAAGCCACCTGTTCCAAGCCAGCTTGCCAGTTTGTTCGGTTTTCATACAAAGCCCAAGAAATAAAGAAATGAAAATGTGAAAAAAGTAAAAGAGAGGATTGAATTTTCAGGTTTTTTCCAGCTAAAAAAAAGGAAAAAACCCATAAAATCACCGATTTCATTTTTATTGCATTTAAAAAATAGATTTGAATCTGTTTAAATCTATTAAACAGAAAGTAAATCATTTGAAACTCATATCTGATGCTTTTGACTGATATGAGTGCAAAGAACTAAATTTCGTACAAAAGGAGTTTCAATCTGAAAAACAATTATGCAAATCTTGAGAGTCACCTTAGAGAGATTTTGGGACAAATTTTACACAAATAGATGTAAAAATGAAGAAGAGCAAGCTAAGAAGGCGCACTTTTTAAAGAAACATAAAAAAATTGTTGAAAAATAAGAATGGCGCACGAAAAACTCAAACCAATACTTAAATGAAATGATGGAATAGTTGCTAACGATCTATAGAGGGCCCCAAAAGAAGATTTTGAGATAAATTTAGAAGAAAATGGGAGAGCAATAAGGGAGAAAATAAGAAAGGTGGAAGAGAGGGAGAAAAGAAGAAGAGGGAGGGAGGAAAAGGAGGGAGGGGAGGGGGCGGGGAGGGGGGGTGGGTGGGTTAGTTTAAGCTAAAAAAACAACGAGTTATGTTCCCTCGATCTCAACCCAAATATGTTTTAATCCAAAAAACGTTTTTAGGGTTATTGCAGATCAATGCGAGAGGAACAATTTAGGACAAATTTAGAGAATTTGATGAACAAAAGGAAGAGAAAAGAAAAACCTTATACTTTGGTTTTTAAAGCCAAAAAAATACAAAAATGGGAGACTCAGACTGATTTTTCAGAGACACAAACCAACTCTCTGAAAAAACTAAGGGAATGCAACAAAACACGGGCTGCAAATCTGGTTGGGTCAACTGAGCAACCAGGTTCTGGTTTTGGGTCTGGACTGCAAACCTAGAGCCGGTTGGTGAGGTCGGGGTGCTTCCAGTTCTAAGTCAAGGTCAAACGGATCCACATGTGTGTGATGTGCATGTGTGTGTGTATTGGCTCTAGGTCCGATGTCTAGCTCTAGGTCCACTCAGGACCTATCTTGGTCTAGGTAGGGGTCAAACCAAGTTGCCTCTATGTGTGACTGAGTGCGCCAATTTTATTAAGACTGGACAAGGAGGGCACCAACCGGGTCCAAGCTGCATGGACTGGTCAGTTCACAGTCAAGAGGGTCCGAAATATAAACAAAAAATTACAAATTTAATCAAAACAAGTCTGAATCGGCTAGTTAACACCAGTTGGACTGGTCTAAAGACTCTAATTCAAGAACCCCGAATTGACCGGTTGGGGCACCACTTTCAGGTTTACATATTCTTTGGATACATCTCTTCAACTTCCAAGTCTTTTTTATATTGTACAAATAGTTGAAAAGAATCATTGTAAGATAAGATGGATTATGAAAGGGAGTGGCTTGAACTTTCTATTTGGCCGTGTAGATATATATGTT